GAAGGGCCATCCTCCATTTAAAATATTTCAGTTCCCGAGTAACTTGGAATCCGCCCTATCTTGCATATATGTTTAGGTGTTCCCAAATTACAAGTTGTGTAGTTTGCACTTAAGGAGAATACTATATTCCCCTGACTCATTACGAGGTTGCGTATGTTTATGAACATTTTCTATCCTTGTTTTACTTTTCTTGTACATCCGAACTTCCGCGCACTCGTGTTTGAATGAGCTAAAGTGCACACACCAACCACCTTCGACTTGCACCGACGCGGGCTTTGATTTCGCTGCCGCTTTGTGCTAATGGTGCACAATTAATTTTCATTTGCTTGACTGCTTTTTGGTTGAACACAATCGTCCACTAGAATTCTCCTCCTAAAACGTATCTTGTCAGTCACGATTTTGCCAGTGTAGCAACCAATATCAACTGAGATCAATTCGGAATTCTTCTTAACTACCCAAAAGCGTCCTCACTTCTTTATATCAACTTGTAGAGGAATTTAGTTATACTTAGTCGGTGCGAAATTTGGTACGGCTTGGCTGACAACGGTCAGTTAGCCGGAAGTGGTCATTTAATTCTCTCTTGTCATTTGTCGGGAATGTTGTTCTGTCTACATGCACAATGGGACGAGTGAGTTCCTTAGCGCGATCGGTGATCCCCTACCTGCAAATTTCACCTTTGTTGTTTTTCCAACTAATCAGCGTTTTGGTAGATCCTGATAATTTGTTTAACCCAAATGCGTACAATTCGGCATCCTCGGTGGGATTCGAACCCCCCGACAGCAAGCGCAGTACAGCCAGCGCTCTGAATTTGAGGTCCGCCTCATACACTTTGCCAACGAGACTACTAGCTGTTTCAGTAGCAATACACTATGGTCGTTGTTTTAAACGCCGCGCGCAAGACAACGTGTCGTCCAGCACATTCCGGCAGTTGTTTGTACTCGTTTACATACTACTTAACACGTATATCCTAGTTAACACGCATACAACTGTCCCGCCCCGCATAGTGACATAGCCTTTCAGCGATGTTTTTAAGTCGAGCACGTGGAGTACACATTATTATCATCAAGGAGTTGGGGCGGCGCGCAATAAACATCTGAGGTCGACGTTGGGCCATAGAAGACGGAGCACTTGTGTTAACGTCTTCTGACCAAACAGCACTGGATTGGCTAGCCGTATAGCCACTGTCTCGGCTGTAGTTAGCACCCGTTGACATAGGCCTTTGGAGAAGTCTTCTGGTGTCGGGTAGACAACCTGAAAGGCTTCTTTGATATCGACTCGGTGATTCGTGACGACGAAATGTGCGAGAATAGAACCCGAAATCGATCTGTTTTCACCTCTGCCTAGCCAGGCCGGCATGTGTTCACGTACACTCTTTTCCAGGCGCCTCTTTGTATAGAAAGTGAATGAGTAAATACACATCGATATCCTTTTGCACAGACAAGTGGATGGGTCCATACGGCGTAGAGCATTGTGAAAGAAAACCTGGACAGGACAACGCTTTTATTCTAAGAGCTAGAGCGCAGCGTATCTGGTCTCGTGAAACTGCTGAATCAGAACTCGAGCAACTGGGAAACATACTTTGCGGAGAGGGACACCCAAGGGATTTATCCTGCAAAATACTGCGAGCGCACTGCGAGGCCTACTATGGCAACCGCAGAAAGGAAAAACTAGTTTATAAGATTGCCTTTCCTGTGGGGCGCGGCAAGCAAACTATTAAAACGTCTGAGAAGCGCGATCACTGGCGCTACCGCTGCGGCGAATTTACTTTTATGTTAAGTAACCCTCCCCTCCGACGCTCGGCAGGTAAAGACCGACTACCGTTGCAGTCCACATGGTTCTGTATTGACTCATTCACTCGCTGTTGTGGAGCGGAGTACGTTCACCATAGAACGAGACACGTGGAAATGAATGAACGTGAGCACATACCGGCCTGGCTAGGCAGAGGTGAAAACAGATCGATTTCAAGTTCTATTCTCGCACATTTCGTCGGCACGAATCACCCAGTCGATACCAAAGAAGCCTTTCAGTTTGTCTACCGGACACCAGCAAACTTCTCCAAAGGGCCGAACTTTTGTGTCAAGTCAATGCGCGCACAAATTGTTACTCGACTGTTCACCGACTGCAATTCATCCTCCGCATCGGTATTAAGTCGGGGACATACGGCTGAATTCAAGTGTAAATATTACATACGCGTTAGGAGTTATATTAATAAACGAGGATTAATCAACATGACAGTCCTACAATCTACGCGAATTGATCATTTGTGCGTGTCTCATGATACAGTTCCATTTCTACATTCACTTGACAAGAATGCACCCTCCCAACTCCCGGTCGTTCAAAAGCCATTCCCAAAAGGATATGCCAGGGCATATGCACACCTTTGAGGATGACGCGCATTCTGTGGGCTCTGTGAGTGCCTTTATAACCGCATTAAGGTGGAGAAATTACGTTCTCGTTCCCACTCCTGAGACATATCGTGTGATGCAGTCAGTTGGCGACATTCCAAGTCGCGGCTCATGATCGACTCAACGGCTGACCTGCTGCGGGAACGAATCCACTAGAGTAAATCTCACTTCTTTCCCAAACAGCAACAGATTCACATCGAAGACACGATGGGATAGAGAAATATGCATAATCCTAAGCCTATCTGTCACAAATTATTGCTTTTATGCCTTCTGGTACTGGAAACAGTGACATCAAACCGTGGGGAGGTGACGACATGCTGTCAAAAGTCACATGAATGCTAGCTGACGAACAAACTGGATGGAAGTTTCTTGGCAATTTTCTCCCACCAGCAGGATGGAAGTTTATTGTCCACCTCATCAGAAAACAGTGACGTGTCAAATGTCCGATCGGATTCCTACCAGCGGCAAGAAAGTTAAGTAAAGAACCGCCTCACTGGAGATTTATCATCTCCAGATAGGAGTGTGTACTCCTGTCCGGCAAATGCAGAAAACGATCTGTCACGAGACCTACACAAATTATCAGTTGTCGTGGATTGCAGGACTGTACATTTGATTATTCCTCGTTCATTAAAATAACCCCTAACGAGTCTTGAACATACAAACTTGGCTTCAGCTGACTGCAGCCGGGTGTCCCCGTCTGTATACCGGTGTGGAGGGTAAAATGCAGTCAGTCGCCTGATGAATTTCGATTTGTGCGTGCATTAACTTTGCACCAGTACTCGACTATCCGCAGAAGACATGCGGAATCTTCCGTCGGCTGGGCTCGCTAACACGCAGGAAATCACCACATTGCAAATGCAAATACCTCTGTCCCAAAATGTGAACTCCTTTGCGTGTTTTTTGCCCGTGGGGACGTGTTTGTCGGAGATGGCGGCAGGAATTTAACTAGGTCATTTTTTAAAACAACATGATAACTGCAACTGATTATCACGAAAGTAGTCTGATTCACTTTTCTTAATGCTAAATGGAAAGTAAATATTAATTTCATGCTACAACGAATTCCATTTTTCGACCAAGTATAGATGACTCTTCATGCAAGACAATCGACACTGGTCGGAATCTGCTTGAACATTTGACACCGTGCTGTCTACTGAGAAACTAGCTCCAAAATTACTCTCTCTCTCTCTCGCTCTCTGCTAACTGCAGAGAATATTCGAGAGATTGAAGTTCACAATGTAGTCCACACTAGAAATCTACTCTCCGAGACACAGGCATATCATTTTTGACAGAAATGTCTGGTCTCTCCACGGTACAGGGAGTTGGCGTCACAGAGGGTGTATCCTCCCGACTTCAGGCAGCGTAAGTCAAATTCAATTAACTTCCCGCTGTCAGTGAGAGTGTAGACTCATAGGTGCGGCTTATCCATGTGTGCATATGGCACCGCAAAGTATGCGCAATGGATACCCTCCTGTCAAATAAATCCAGGCAATTCCCCAAACTGACCAAATATTATTGTTCGACCGTCGATTTCGACGATGTCCACCGTGTGCCCCACAGCTGAAGCAGCGGTGGGAGCAGGGACGGTGACTTGCGCAGGGGTTTATAGTGCCAGTAGACTTGCGTAGCATCTACCTACACTCTCTCCTCCTCCCCCGCCTGGGCCCGGTGTCAAGACGGAGTCAAGAAGACCGGAGGCGAGGGAGGCCGCAGGTGGATGGCTCGGACGGATCCTCACCTTGGCGTTCCACCACACCCCCTGGTCCACACAACAATGACCAGGATTTCAACCAACACAGCAGAGATTTGGAGGCTGGCACGGCCGAAGCCGCACCTGGGCGTGCCGCCAACGCCTGGCTCGGATCCCACACTGTGGTAGGAGTGCCATAAAGGCCACATTAAAAAGGAGCCATTGCAGCCTGACTCTCAGACCGCCTCCAGTGAACGAGGAGGTCCAAGGTACCCCGTCAGTTGGCAACCTTCCAAGCCACGGCTTTTAGCGCACCGTGATAGCTTCAAGCGCGTCAGATTGTTTATAGTGAGGAGAAAGTGCGCTGAGTCGTCGACCTCACCCTCCCTTCCCACTCCCACACCCCATCCGCTGTCCAGAGCCGGTCAGCAGACTGGAGTGGGGAATGGGCGCGGTGGCTGACATGGTCGACCGACCATGCCTGCGCGCGCCACAGCACGACCTGGCCTCCCATACACACACAAACACCAGGATTTCACGCCACGGGGGTAGAAAGGCGTGTCTCCCGCTTGCGTGAGAGGGCCGTGGAAGGTGCTGCTTCAGCCCGTCCCCAGCCCACCAGTCCGCCACTACACACAACACACACACACAACGTGACGAACTGCGTGAACCGAGAGCGGGCCTCAATCAGCAACCTTCCTATCCACGACTTTTGACGTGTCGGGATAGTCTCGGACACAAGTCACCCGTGCAGCCGAAGCCGCATGGGGACCGAGTCGAGATGCACACTTCCCACTTGCGTGGCAGGCGGCAGTTGAGTGCATGAGGTGTGTGAAGGTTGATGTCTGGTGGGGTGATGGTGTTAGGAGGAAGGGAGTGAGGGAATGTGTGGTGTGACCAGCGGTTGTCTACCGCAGGTCGTCGTGGATGCGCATGTGGCCGAATAGACCCATGCGATGCGTGAAAGTGCGAGGACAGTGTGGGCAGTGGAGGCGAGTGCGGTGGGTGTAGGTTGGTGCTTCAGGCACTGGTTTGCCAGTCTCTGTGCGATGGATTCGCAAGTGACCGACGAGGCCGATGCGAGAGGTGAAGGTGCGATCGCAGTGAGGGCAGATGTAGTCCTGGCCCTCACGTCTGATGATGGAGGTTGCAGGGGTTGTGCCTGTTGTTGAGTCAGGTGCGGCTGTGGTGAAGTCGTGCGCTACAGACGCCGGAGTGGCCGTCGTTGTGGCAGTGAAGGAGGAAGAGGAGGAGGAAGGGGATGAGTGAGGGGTGGTAAGGTCAGTGGCGTCGATGTCGGCTGGGGAGTTGTTAGTGGGTGCACAAGGTGGTGGATTGGCCGAATAGACCCATGCGATGCGTGAAAGTGCGAGGACAGTGTGGGCAGTGGAGGCGAGTGCGGTGGGTGTAGGTTGGTGCTTCAGGCACTGGTTTGCCAGTCTCTGTGCGATGGATTCGCAAATGACCGACCAGGCCGATGCGAGAGGTGAAGGTGCGGTCGCAGTGAGGGCAGGTGCAGTCCTGATCCTCATCACTGGAATCGGTAGAGGTGGGGGTGGTGGCGGTTATTGTGTCGGGGTTGGTGATGTGTGAGACGGCAGTCTGAACGGCCGCCGATGGGGCAGTGGAGGAGAAGGAGGAGGATGGAAGTGGTGGTGCAGAAGGAGTGTCAGAGTTAGTTGGCGGAAGAGAGGACGAGGAAGAGGCGGGCGGGGGGACGATGGCTGGAGCAGTTTGAGAGGTGCAGTTGGTTCGGAGATGTCCAACAAGTCCGATTCGTGCCCGGAATGTCCGTTGACATCGAGGACACGTAGGGGAGGTTGTGCGGCGTCGTTGCGGACTGGGTGAAGTTGTGATTTGCGAGCTTCGCGTTTCGCTTTGGCGGCGGCGATTCGGTTGGCTTCATAGATAGCAGCGCCCGTCTTCACTGTTCTTCTCCATGTCGGACGATCGCGAGCGAGCTCTTCCCAGTTGGTCGGGTTGATTTGCAGGCGCTTCAGGGAGAACTTCAGAGTATCCTTGTAACGGCGAATTTGGCCTCCTTGACGACGAGAACCCGTCGCGACGTCTCCGTAGAAGAGTCGTTTGGGTAGTCGCTCGTCGTCCATGCGCACCAGGTGGCCGCTCCAGCGCAGCTGCATTTGTTTCATTATGGCGTAGATGCTGGGGATTCCCGTCCGTTTCAGTACTTCCGTGTCGGGGATTCGATCCTGCCAGTTCAGCCTCAGGATGCGACGGAGACAACTGAGGTGGAAGTTGTTCAGTCGGCGTGCCTGTCTCGTGTACACCGTCCATGTCTCTGCTCCGTACAGTAACGTCGGCAGGATGACGGCCTTGTACATCTTCAACTTCGTGCTCATCTGAAGACCGTGGCGATTCCAAATTGTGCTTCGGAGACGACCGAAGGCTTGACTGGCTTTCGAGATCCTGTTGGCGACTTCGTCATCAATCTTGGTGTTGCGGGAGAGGGTACTGCCCAGATACGGGAAGTTCTCCACCACTTACAGTTGATTTCCGTTCACGCTGATTTGCGGCGGCGCGTTGGGGACTGTGGCTGAGTTCGGCGGCGGTTGGTGCATCACCACCGAATTCTGCGTGTTAATGACCAGCCCAAAGTTCTCTCAGGCGGCGGAGAATAGGTCCATGCTCCGTTGCATCTCCTCTTCCGAGGTGGTGTTCAGGGCGCAGTCGTCGGCGAAGAGGAATTCGTGCACGGTGGCTGTGGATACACGCGATTGGAAGTTCATGCGCCGTTGATAAAGGAGATGACCGTCCGTTCTGTAGGCGATGCGGATTCCAGGGCGTTCGTCGCGGTAGGCGTCCATCAGCATGGCAGAGAACATAAGACTGAAGAGGGTAGGCGCCAGCACACAGCCCTGCTTCACTCCGTTTGTCACTGGGAATGCCTCTGAGACAGCTCCGTTGTCCGTGACTCGCGCCATCATACCGTCGTGCAGCTGACGCACCATCTGAATAAATCGCTCCAGACAGCCGAATTTCTGCATGATCTTCCACAGTCCTTCACAATTCACCATGTCGAAGGCTTTTGTCAGGTGCACGAAGGTAGAGTACAGGTGGGTCCGCATCTCCTGGCACTTCTCCTGAAGTTGGCGGGCTGCGAAGATCATATCCGTGGTCCCACGACGACGACGGAAGCCATATTGGCTTTCCGGCATAAGGCCCTGTTCCAGATGGTTGTTGAGGCGGTTGAGAAGGATGCGAGCGAAGATCTTCCCGGCGATGTTCAGTAGGGAGATGCCGCGGTGGTTGTAGCAGACCTGGAGATTCCCTTTGCGCTTGTATAGGTGTACGATAGTTGCGTCCTTGAAATCTTGCGGGACTTCACCTTGACGCCACATCTCCTGGAAGAGCGCAGTCAGGTGATCCATCAGTTGGGGACCTCCGTGCTTGTAGACCTCAGCAGGGATTGCGTCCGATCCGGGTGCTTTCCCGCTGGAGAGTTGCTGCACGGCCGTGATGGTTTCCTGGAGAGATGGCGGGAGGTCGAGGTCCGCGTTTGTCTCCACTTGCGGCAAGCGGGCGATGGCGGCGTCGGAGATGACGGAAGGGCGGTTGAGGAAGCCTCGGAAGTGCTCGGCCCATCGCTGTAGGATTTGCGTCTTCTCAGTCAGGAGAGTGCTGCCGTCGGCGCTGAGGAGAGGAGCAGTGCCCTTCGTCGGCGGACCGTAGACAGCTTTGATCTCGGAGAAGAAGTTCTTTCATTCTTTGCGGTCCGCGTAGCCTTGGATCTCCTCAGCTTTGCGAGCAGTCCAGGCGTCCTGCATCTCGCGCAGTCGTTGCTGAAGCTGTCGACGACTGCGGTAGAAGGCAGCTTTGTTGTCCTCAATGGGGCGATCTACGTAGGCTTTGTGTAGGCGGTTCTTCTCGGCAAGCAGATTGCTGATGGCGGCGTCGTTGTCGTCGAACCAGACCTGGTGTTGGCGGGGAGCGCGACCGAGGACGGCGAGCGCCGTCGACTGGACCGTGTCTCGCAGTTGACACCAGCGGTTCTCCACGGAGGCGTTCTCGGCAGCGGCGGCGGCGGCGGCGTCGTCGGCGGCGGCAGCGATAGGAAGGTTGTCTAGCCGTTGAGCTAGCTCATTGCTGAAATGGAGACGGTGAGCAGGCAAAGACAACAAAGCAACATTTAGCTTACCTGGGGGTCGCTTACCTTGTGGTCTCCTGCGAGGCTGTAGGCGAATACGCATCTTCGAGATGACGAGGCGATGGTCGGTCCACCCGTCAGCACCCGCGATCGCCTTCGTCACCAGCACGTCCCGCTGATCTCGCCTCCGGACGAGGACATAGTCCAGCAGGTGCCACTGACGCGACCGAGGATGCCTCCAGGTGGCCTTCTCTCGCTCCGGCAGACAGAAGAACGTGTTCGTCAGGATGAGGCGGTGTTCTGCGCAGGTGCTAAGCAGTAGCAGACCATTGTCGTTTGAGCCGCGGAGACCGTGGGGACCCAGCACTCCCCTCCAGGCAGTATGGTCTGTGCCGACGCGGGCGTTGAAGTCGCCAAGGACAATCAACTTGTCCGCCTTCGACACAGTCGCCAAGAGGGCATGCAGGTCCTCGTAGAATTTGTCTTTGACGGCGTCGGGGCTGGTCATCAGCGGAGCGTAGGCGCTGATGATGGTGGCAAACTTGCCTCCTCGCCGGAGGGGCAGACGGAGGCTCATTAGGCGGTCGTTGATTCCCTGCGACAAACAGGGTAGTCGTCCCACGATGGCGGTCCGGATGGCAAAGGCGACACTCGCGTCTCGTCACTCTGCCCTGGGTCGACCACTCCAGAAGAAGGTGTAGTCGGTACCAACCTCCTCTAAGAGGCCTTGTTCGGAGAATCGGTTCTTGCTGAGTGCGGCGATGTCCACCTTGTAGCGCGCCAGTTCTCGTGCCACTAGCGCCGTCCTCCGTTCCGGTCGGTTGCTCCTCGGATTGTCTAAAAGGGAACGAACATTCCAGGCTGCCAGAGTGAGCGGGCTCACTCTGCCAGTCTGGCGACTGCGGCGGCGAATAGTAGGAGTAGGAGAAGAAGAAGAATAGGCTGGAAGAAGAAGAGAGTGATTGTTGTTGTTGCTGTTTCGATTTTGGCTGTTTCGACCGTGTGTTTTTTGTCTGCGGCCACGGCCAGCCTACAGACAGCGTGGTTTCCAGCGAGCTTTAGGACACCTATTCTAGCCCCCTCCCCCTCGCGGGGGCAGGCAACGCATCCCTGAACGGGGCTGCCCGGTTATCCCAGACGGCTGCCGGACTCCACTATGGGCCACGACTTTTTGTTAGTGAGAGAACGACCCGAGTTAGCCTGGGACCTTGGTGGTGGTGATGATGTGTTGGAGTGAAGTAGGAGAGAGCATACACACTACCTAACGCTAGGGGACTTAGAACTAGAGTGGACAAGCGGACACAGACATCAGTCAGAGACAAAGTGAGGGCACCACACAAAGTCAAGCACCGTAACACCTAGCTATTAGTAGAGAGTGGCATAGACTGACGGACAGACAATCGCAGCAGGCATCGAGGGTGTCGTTTAGCTATTAACAGACAGACTAGCATATAAAGGGCAGACAGCAAGCGCAGCGTACGACGCGGAACTTCAACAAACAAAAGGAAGAAACAAGGCAAACGCACTTACCTGAGGGGGAACTTATCTGGTGGCCTCCTGCGATGGTCCAGGCAGAGCCTCGTCTCGACGATGTCGACGCGAAGATCCATCCGGCCAGCGCAGACCACAGTACCGCGCGTGCAGGTGCACGCACGGATACCCTCACCTGGTTTAGCCCGCCGGTCGAGACGGTTGCCCGGAGTGTGGCCGCTGAGCAAAGCCCAGCTACGTGGAGCCACAGGGAGAGTTAGGTGCCAGCAAATGGACGCTAGGCGTACTCTCACCTGCAAGCAATTGAGCGACCACTACGACCATCACGTGGACCCACCGCTGACACCCCTACACCCCTAAGATTATTGTAGTGGCACAAGCAACAATATCTATGTGTGTTTGCCGTCCACATCTCCCGGTGGTTGGTCATATTCAGCCGTGAATTGGAGGAAAATGACGCAGGGTGGTGTTACTGAACTACCTCATGTCCTTCGATGCAACTTGAAATATCGGAGCCTTATGCTGTTATAGCACATTTGAATCTGTCGTGACAAAATCATTAAAGGCAACGATCATGAACCAGCCAATCATCTCAATCCTCACCTGATTGCTTGCAGGGTGGCCAGTCGTGTCGGTCGTTATGCTTGGACATGAATACTGTAGCAATCTCTGCGCCTGCTAGTGTTTCGAATTTTCTATGCAGTCAGCAGAGACAGTATTTTCGGGGCTTTCACTCAGAAGTCAGTACAGAGTCAAGTGTTCTGTCGGATTCCCACCAGTGTTTCGAGCGGTAACCAAAGAGCCACTGCATTGTAGATTTATGTGCAGTCAAGAATTAGTCGAATACGGCATCAAGCCATGACGGGTAGGGTGGAGGCAGGAGGCTTGATAGGGCCGCATTCGCCTGGTATTACCACGGTGCCTTATTTTGAACTCTCATATTACCTGTCATTTTTTAATCGTGTAATAGTCCTGACATCTGATATTCAATAGTGAATGTGCTATATTCTTTTCACTTAATGTCCAAACTATTTGAGTTAAATCCCCGCTTTCCTTAATTAATCGAATGTTGAATCAAATTCTTTCAATCTAACAGCGTTTGTACAAAAAATTTTTGATACTTGCTGTACTTTTTATACTCTAATTGTACGACTAGATAGAATTTCTCCCCTCTGTCTAAGATTCTTACGAACCTCCCTTCAAAGGCGCAGTACGGTTAGAATTTTGAAGCAACGCATGGTCTTCCAGGAAACGCACACTTTGACTTTTGGCTGTCAGAGGGATTTTGCTTAGAATGAAGAATGCCAAACGACCCCATAAGAAACATGTCAGAGATTTGTTTGCCATAGTCCCGATGAGGGCTCGTTTTCACTCACGGCGATGCATCCCCAGCGATGCATTCTACTTGCATACTCGTGAAGCATCGGTGTGCCTCGACGCTAATGAGGGTGAGTTTTTGTCGAATGTTTTTCACTAAGAAACACTGAAGCTGTTATTTCATTCAATATCTGCAGATGCGATGCCGTATGAATAGACACTGACGGTCTTAATAAATCTCATAATTACATACTTTTTAAAGTTGAAAAATATCCAAAGGAGCGAAAAGATGCATATTTTTGTGTATGTTTTTTATAAAATATATTTGAATTTAAAAGACCATCCGAAATAAATGTGAGACATGCATGCCAAATAGGCAGTCATGTTTTACTGGATGCGGTTTCTACAGGAGGTCGAAAAGAAGCGCATTCAAAAGACAACATCCCGGCGAGTCCGAAATATTACAGGGTTATGACACACGAACATCGCTATTACAGTCCCACGTAAGTAATCCCTCCTAATCGGAAAGGCATTTATAATTTTAAGCCAACGTTTTATGAGATCGGTCAAACAATGTAAGAGAAATTTATCCACAATGCACGATCAGATGTGCAAGTGAAGTCTAAGGCAGGAATTAGAACCGAATTCGCACGATTCATTTTCACG